CCAGGGGGTGACAAGTTGTACAGTTTTCGTCAGCTCTGGCTGCCATAGCATACCATAGAGGAGGCCAAAACAACAGAGATTTATTTCTTCATGGTTTTGGAGGCTGGAAGTCCCATATTAGGATGCCAGCCTGGTTAGGTTCTGACGAGAGCTCTCTTCCTGGCTTCCTGACAGCTGGGTTTTTTTTTTTTTTTTTTTTGCTGTTGTTGTTTGTTTTGTTCTTGTTGTTATGTCTTTACATGGGGGAAAGATTGATAGCCCTCTTAAATGGCTATCAATCCTGTCAGATAAGGGTCCCATACTTCCTTATGACCTTATTTAACCATAATTACCTCCCAAAAGCTCCATCTACAGATGCAGTCACAATGAGGTTTAGGGCTTTAACATATGACTTTGGGGGAGGACATAAACATTTAGTCCGCAACATATACTTTGCCTGGAAAATAAGATTATGAAGAATCATGAAAAAAAAAAAAGAAAATTGAGAAGTAGAAAGGACAGAATGTGGAGAATAGCAATTAGATATATTGTCAGCTCACAGTGATTCTCTGTTCCCTGAGAACGCCCTGTGTAAAGGGAGCTCCTTATGATCATGCCTGTGCCATGGTCTCCCCCACCCCATGAATCTAGAAGTGGAATGATTAATTCAAACTGGGCCAATCAAAATATTATTTTTGGCAATATTGAAACGTAAAGTGAGGGACACAAGGGCTGGGAGTCTTTAGGTTGAGTTACATTAATGACAACTCCCTAGGGAGAAGAACCACCACAAACAGTGCACAGTCAGCACAAGAGAGGTGGCAGTCCTTGCCAAGGTCTTCACATCTTCAGAGCAGTGCTAGTTCAGGTTCTTCCTGGAAGTTGGTTGTTCAATTCCTTCTTTAAATCTATGATCTTCTACAGTATCTTCCCAATAAGCTACCCTCTTTTTCCTTGAGTTTTCAGAGGCAGAGTCTTGTTCCTTTCAACCAAAGGAAATTGCACTATGACACAATGCTAATGCACCTGGAGTCTACCCCCGAGACAATGGAGCTTACTGAAGGGCCTGAGAAGGGAAGTAGCATAAGACTCTGGTGTTGGAATCATCATTCCATTGGTGGTAGAGGAGATGGGTATTTTAAAGTCACAGAGATTGGTTAGAATCTATTGGTACATTCTAAGTAAGAAATAAGGTAAAAAAAAAAAAGAATAGAGAGTATGAGTAGACTTCAGAACTATTGGGAAATACAATCAAAAAGGGCTTCATGTTAGGAACCAAAGATGATTTCAGAGTTGGGTTTCAGTGACTGGGAAAGTAGAAAATGGTGCCATTTGATAAAGGAGGACTTAGGCAGAGAGCAGGGTGGAGAAAATTAATCATTTAATTTGGACCCTTTTGAGTTGTGGGTATTGGTCAGTCACGCAATCAAAATTCTCAACAGTTGAATATACTGATTTAGAACTTATTATAATTTGACCCCTAGATTTAGGGAAGATCAGTGTATAGGTTGTTCAAGCCAGTGACAATTAGCAGTGGATAAGCTGAAAAGAAGGCTAAATGAGAGGAGCACAAAGTAAGAAGTGGAGAATGAGACGAAGAACAAGAATGGAACCCCGAGGAAATACCAACATGAATGTGATAAGAGGAGAGAATATTGTCCTAAAATGGAAGATAATGCTATTCTAGAAGGCAAAACTGACATATCAAGAAGGAAGTGGGCAACAGCGTCAAATGCCTTTTTGAAAAACCAAATATTTCAAAGGCAAAAATTCAATTATATTAAGAAATTAAAAATTTATTGCTGGGCTGGGAAGGTAGCTTAGTGATAGAGCATTTGCCTAGCATGTGTGAGGCCCTGGGGTTGTTCTCCAACACTGTTAAAAACAAACAAACAAACAAACAAAAAGATGAAGAAGGAGGAGGAGAAGAGGGAGGTGAAGGAGAAGGAGGAAGAAGAGGAGGAGGATGAGGTAGAGCAGGAGAAGAAGGAGAAGGAGGTGAAGGAAAAGAAGAAAGCAACTATGGAAGAAAACATGAGACTAAAAGAGTTTGGGAGAGTGTTACAGTGAGAAAATAGGCAAGAGAGGTATACCCCTCTTTTCAGTTCAAGAAGAAGCTTTGAAATTATATTGCTGAAGAAGAAGAGCAAAGATGCTGAGTAGGAGGATTGGAGGTGAAGTTGGAGATCTTAAAAGCTGAGTGGCAGCACTATGTACAAATATCTGTTGCTCTTCATCAGTGTTAGACACAGAGAAGGTGAATAGTTGGATTGACTCATGATTTGGAATTTTTCCAGATGAATATGTATAAGAACAAGGCAGAAGGAGGATGGAATTCAGGGTCTTAAGCAAGAGAAAGATGGAAAGAATGGATCTTGTTTTTAAGCTGCCTGAAGAAGGAAATGAAAACGAAAGGAAGCCAAGAAATTGGGGGTGGAGTGAAGAAGTTAAGGGGCTTAGTGCCTTTAATGCAATTAAAAGTATGCATTTATAAGAAGACTGTGATTACAAAATAATAACAAGATGTAGATTTAGGATGTAATCAGGAGTGTAAGCTAGTAGCCTGGTGTGGCAGTGCATTCTTGTAGTTTTATCTACACTGGAGGCTGAGGCAAGAAGATCACTGAAGCCCAGGAGTTTGAGACCAGCCTAAACAATATAGCAAGAAAAAAAAATACTTTAGGGGTCTTTGAAGTTAGTTGATCATTTTTGTACGTTGATGCAGCGAATCCATTAGCAAGAGAGAATGTGTAAGTCATCATAAATGCCCATGCTAATTCTAATATGGAAATCCATATATGTGGAGTTAGAGTTCCACATCAGAATTTAGAAGAAGGAACAACTTATAGTGGTGTAGTTGTAGTATACAGAACCAAGAAGGAATTGTAGAGTACACTGGGGCAAGAAAAATGGAACAATTAACTTAGATTCAAAAGGATATGGGGAAGGAACAATTACCAGAACTTAGAAGGAGAGGGCTGTCTAGAGGAGACAAGGCTTTGGCCAGAAGAAACAATCAACCCAAGAAGACCTTTCAGGGAAGAAATCAGAGAAGTAAATTCTCCCATCTCAAGCTCCCTACTCCCTCAGGAATCATGCTGGCACTTCCTTTTTTTTTTTTTTTTCAATTCTGACTTATTAGAAGTTTTTGTTCCTTACCCTCTCTTTGCAGCTGACAGGCTTTCTCCATATGGAAAAAAAAATGGCTATTGGCAGCTCCAAGCCCACTTCATGGCAGCTGATGAGAGACTCTCCCAGTGTCCATAAACCAAATTTCCTGGAAGGACTGTGACAGGTCTTGCTTAGGTCTCAGGTTAACTCTGAATCTCATCACTATGGATGCAGAGAAGAGAATGGTCTACTCTGCTTGGCCAGACCTGGTTTGCTTTACCACCCCCGGAGGAGAGAGGAGCACTATAATGAACAAGGTTTCCAAATGTCAAAAGACATGAATGAGAGGAAATTTCCTGAAATCAAAAAGAGGTGTTGAGAGGACAATAGCAGCAGATACCTATTGCACAGGTGGAACAATAAGGTGAGCATGGCAGCAGCATGTGAAAACTCAGACTCTCAAAGACTGCTTTGTGTGAGGATATTCATTATATGTGGATATTCTAATGAGTTTCTTTGAAAGTCTCAGTACTTTTTATCACACATATTCAATTCTTGAAATTCCATGTCATTGTTAACAAGAGTTAAAAAGCAATGTTCTAGTGATGCTTCCAACAAATATAGCAGTCACTCTTGAGTCTTTAAGTGGTCAGAGCACCATGAAAACTGTTGTATATCCATATTATTTAACCTTCATGACAACTCTTTTTTTAATATTTATTCTTAAGTCACAATATCTTTATTTTACATTTACATGGTGCTGAAGATCGAACCCAGTGCCTCGTGCATGCTAGGTGCACCACTGAACCACAACCCCAGCCCATGACAACTCTTAATTGGACAGTCATTGACTAGTGCCCAGATTTTCTTTGGGGAAATGGAGGTTTCCCTATTCTTAGTAACATGTTAAGGAAAAACAGATAGTGCCTGACTAAATTAAGCTATTCAGTCACTCATCTCCCTGATCTCAAAAACTGGTCCAGAGCTGGCATGTGACACAACCTGTTTGGGGCTTTTGGGGGATTTCTGGGATGCAATCTTCCTTTCTTCAGATTATGTGGAATTGCAATGGAAGGCCTAGAGTCACTGCAGCTGGAGAGGAGCTGGGCTGAGGATGCAATGACTATGCAGAAAGGGGCAGAACTGCAAAAATGTTAGGGACATTGCAGTTGGGGTCCAGATAATATAGTGAACCTCTAAATCAAGTCAGGCTAGGGCAGCTCTACCTCCAAATTTCCACCACATGAGCTAGCCCACTTCCCAAGGAAAGCTATTTCCTATGAGCCACCATTTCTTCACTTTTAAAATAGTAATGCTAAAAACAACTTCACTGGCTTATTATAAGGGTTAAATGACACAATATGTGGCCGACCAAATATCAACACTCCAAATATTTCTTGCTGTAGTAGTTTGTGATACTGTACCATCCCAAATACACTCTCACAGAATTGCGGGGTGTTTAACTCTTTTTATGAGGTATATATACTTTTAAAAGCTTTATACTGCACAAGTATAGATATGTCAAATTGTCTTTAAAGTAATATGAATTCAATTTTTTTCTTTTACAAAATTATGCCCATGGTAGAAAATATAAATGGTTTATATGATTTATAGTTGCACTGTTTATGGTCACTTCTACAAAGATGGACATAAAAATTTTGGTAAATAACAAAATTCTTATTGTTTATTATTCTATGGGAAAATCACCTTGACTTTGATCATTTTCAACCTAATTCAGGAACATTAGCCATGACAAACATGAGGATTACTTGTATTAACCCCCCCCCCCTTGTTTCTTCCTTACATTCTTTCCTTAGATTTGTGTTTATTTTGGTTCATAGTATTTAACAAAAAACAAACTACACATGATCCTTAAAAATTGTTTCATTTTTATTTGTTTTTGCCTACAAAGTTTCATAAAAACACTGACCAAAGAGCAATGAGAAATAAATCTCTGTCCTATGGTTAAGAACCTATGATGCTATTCATCACAAAAATAGGGAGCTGGAGAAACAGAAGAGTGAATATGTATATAACGAGTTCATCTATACGGTCTCACACAGTTAATCTTGCAAACCCAACTCATGATAATAAATTTGTGAAAACAAAACATTAAAAAAAAAACTTAGAAAGTAACAACAAACCATAAACACAATGTTACTGAAACAGCCACATTACATCCTTAGCTCTAGTTTGGATGTGACACAAGTGTTTTAAATTGCATTGGGTGGAGGCCCGAGGAGGAAGGAAGCATCGGATATTGCTGGAACATATCTTTGTTTGAGCAACAGCTAATGAGAAAGGTCACCATTATGCTTTGCTTTCAAACACGGGTCTGTTTTGAAATTAGTACTAAACATTTCATCACAAATGCTGGTTTATAATCATTGGGGTATACAATCCTGGACTATTCATTCTTTCCCCTCTCAAATGGAAAGTAAAATCCAAAATGATGAGAGCATAAACTTTGTTCTTACCACTGTTTGGGTCAGAATATGACAGTAAAAGATAAAATGACTTCCTATTTATGGGTCCAGGGTTCCAACAGTGAATTTGAAGCAGATTTAGCCTTCTAATTTTTTCCCCTGCCGTTTTAGTGTTATTTGTATTCATGTTTAACTCGATTGCCAGTGTTTGAGATACAAGGCTTTCTGGCCTTTGTTTCCTAACATTTGTTGCATTTGTTTAGCGGATCAAGCAAATGGCACTGAGAATCCTAAGAAAGAGTTTAATTTTCCTCTGTACAAAATGTTCACTGGCAAATGCAATAAACTTCAGAAGACCTCCTCTTAGGAAGGGCTGGCTTATACCGAGCTCAGTAAAAGCAATACCAGCAGACATTTCTGCCGCAATTTGGGAGGAGGAGCAGAAATCTATTAAGTATCTCAGTTTATATTTTTGGTTTTCCCTGTTGGCCGAGCTGTTGTATTCCCATGTCCGCAGCACGTTCCACTGTGGGAGCTCGAACTCTCAGAATAAACTCTGGGAAAGGCTGGGTCCACCCTCTGGGGATAAGGGAGCCAGGGGGGAGGAAGGGGAGGGGGTAAAGGAAAAGGGAAGGGGGCGGCCGTCTTCCTGTGTTTGGATGACCTTTCCTTATGTTTATCTGGAGGGACTGGGCGGCCACACTGTGTTTGGTGTCAGTCTGCCATGTTCCCTAGTTTATGTGGGTAAAGAACCTTTGCCTCTTCTGGGAGGACTAGGTGTAGTTGTCCTGAGTTACAAAAGAAAAATACCAGTCTGCTAGAGGGGAGGGCATAAAAGTCTTATTAAACATATGCATGTGGTTGTGTCTAGCAGATTCTGTAAGGTGAAGACCAAGGTGATTCTTGGAGCCCTTTGAGGAAGAGCCTACCCAAGCTTCTGCCCTCATGCTGAGAGATAGGGTGGAGATTGTCTTCTCCCAAATCCTCATCATTTAGTATAATACCTCCCACCTGTGAGTATTCCATAAATATTTCTTGAATGAGTGAATGAATAAGTAAATGAGTAGAGTCATCCAGAGGTGACTGGGGAACAGGCTGAGAGGTCCCTATACTACCTTGGTTTATTTTTATTTATTTATTTATTTTTTCTGCTAAGCTCTGCTCTAAGGGCTTGTGTGGCTGCACTTCAAAGAAATCACTTTGAAGCCTCCCGGTCTCACATTCCTGATGGGTGAATCATTTGTTTCTTAAGGGTGGATAAGACCAACTTCTCTGGTTTTCTACTTTTCTTTTTCATTTCAGTGCCCACCTCTTACTTGGCTACCCAGAAAAGTTCCCTAGTAATCCTCCTAACTCTCCTCCATCTAAATTATATTCCCCAAGACACCTCTTAAGAAACTCCATTTTCTTCACATAACTTCAGACTATTTCTATTTATATTCATTTGTGTGACAAATCCTTCCTGCATCTGTTTTCTCCACTATATTATAAACTCCTTGAAGGTAGAGGACCATGTTTATTTTCTTATCACAGTATCCTTAGCACCTGCCACTGTAACTGACATATAGTAAGCACTCACCAAGTATGTCTTAAGTGAATGAATGAACATATTACTGAATAAATTGTTTTTGGAAAGAAAATTCGTATTAGGTTAGTGAGTGAATTGGGGAGATATTTTAGTCAGCTTTTTTGTCACTGTGACAAAAAGACCTGACAATAACAACGTAAAGAAGGAAAAGTTTATTTAGGGCTCATAGTTTTAAAGGTCTCAATCCATAGATGACTGATTCCATAGCTCTAGGCCTACGGTGACCCAGAACAGCATGGTGGAAGGGCACTGAGGATGGAAGCAGCTCATGACATGTCAATCAGGAAGCAGAGAGAGCTCTGCTCACCTAGGACAAAATATAAACCCCAAAGGCATGTCCCCAGTGACCCACTTCCTCCAACAATTCTCCACCTGTCTATAGTTACCACCCATTTAGTCCATATTAGAGGATTTGTGCACTGATTAGGTTATAACTCTCATAACTCAGTCATTTCACTTCTAAACTTTTTTGCATTGTCTTACACATGAGCTTTTGGGGAATATCTCATATCTAAACCATAACAGAGGATAAAGGCCAGAGTCCAAAAGGCCTATTCCAATCAGACCTTGAGCCCTTTCATGAGTTTGCGATTCTGGAAGAGGATGAAGGGGTTAGCAGACACAAGTCACGTTGTAGATTCTACCTCTGGAAGCTGGCTAGTGCTCTGGACTCCTGGGAGCCTTGGAAACTTTCTCTTCCAACTCTACTGAAAATAGCAACTTCTTCCACCTTTTCAGTAAAAGCTTTATGCTTTGTCACCAGGTAGCCAAACCTCAAAAGGACTCTTGACCTTTCCCTCTTCCTCACATCACACAGTTTCACAATACTTCTTGTTAGTTTTTTCCTTTCCATTCCCATGAGGACCTTTTTGATCTTGTATATTAGTCAGGTTTCTTTTTTTTCCAAGTTACAGACATTCATCTCCAGTTACCTTAAAAACAAAAACATCTCAGAATGGATCACTTCTCTGGGAATATATTGGATCACATCTCTGGGGACTTGATGCAGGTAGCTGACTGCAAACATGTCTAGATCCAGGGAATTGGATGTTGCTCAGGTCTTCATCTCCCTTGCGGTCCCCCCACTAAGCTTTTTAAATGGTCAACTACAACTACTGGGTCAGAACTTCCTTAGAGCACCAGAGAGAACTCTGCTTGCAACCAAGTGCCACTTCTGAATCACTCACTATGGGGACCTAGACACATGGCTCTGATTGGCCTGGTCTGGGAAACATACCTTTGTGACCTTTGAATGAGGAAATGTACAATTGGTACAATCATAGAAAGAGTTCTCCAAAGAAAAGAGGAATTATGGGCTGGGGGTGTGGCTCAGTGGTAGAGTGCATGCTTAGCCTTGGGTTTAATTCCTAGTACCAAAAAATAAAAATAAATAAGAGAAATTATGTTACCAGGATAAGCTGTGGTGCTAGATAATCGAAAACAATAGAATGCCTTCCTGCAATTCCCCCTTCCCCTATGCTTCCAGGTGCAGTGGTGGGTTAAGGGACCTACCGGATGTAGGATATGCAGGGAAAATGAGGATGTGCTATGGAATCAGATTGTTTCCATCCAAATTCTAGCTCTTTCTCCTATCAGTTATGTTATTTTGGGCAAGTTAACTTCTCTAAGTCCGATTTTTGCATGATAAAACAGTGATAGAAGGCATTTGGTGGAATATTATTCAACCTTAAATGGGAAGAAAATTCTGGCACATGTTAAAATACAGCTGAACCTTGAAGACATTACATTAAGTGAAATAATACAGTCACAGAAAGAGAAACAGTTGATGACTGTACTTATACAAAGTACCTAGAATAGTCAAATTCTTAGAGACAGAAAATCAAATGGCGGGTGTTCTGGTCTGGGGAGTGTAGGGAATGGGAGGTGCTATTTCAGAGATACAGAGTTTCAGTTTTGCAAGATGAAAAGAATTTTGGAGTTGGGTGGCAGTCAGTGATAGCTGCACAACAAGTGAATATATTTAATATCCTTGAACTGTGGTTCAAATGGTGAATTTTATATTATGTATATCTTATACAATGAAAAGAAAAAGCAAACAAAAGTGTTAAATGAGACAACATGGGTACAGTACTTAGCACAGTGTGAGCTAAGTACTGTATCCATATTAAGTCCTCATAAATGCAAAATATTATTCTCATAAGAGCCCTAAGAGTGAGGAATTAATGGTTTAATATTTACAGCTGATTAAATGAAGACTTGGAGGTTAACTGGTCCAAGCTCATCCAACTAGAAAGTGGCATAACTAGACTCAAATTTAATACTTGGCTCCATTATGTCACATACTACTTGCTAACTACTACTGCATAATATTTTAAAGTGCTACTTAGATTGTGTTAAGTTTTTGCTTAATAAAACTTAAGGGACCTTCCCCAGATTCCTTTTCCTGGTACACTTCCTTTGGCAGGTTGACCACAGTTACAATTCTAGCTTCATCTCAATATCAAGGCCCTGCGTTAGCCTGCCCTGTGTTCTCTCTGTCTGTCACATATGCTGGTTCTCCTGCTAGGCCAAGGCTGAAACTCTGCAAATACCCCCAACTCCTCCAGGAAACTTTACCTTCCTGGGAGAGAGACATATTCCCCTTTCCTCTTCAGGACTGTGGATAGCAGTGCATAATTTACTGCTGGATCAACATTATTAATTGGCTATTCACATCTTATCTCCACATTCAACTCTAAATTCATGGAGGCATGTTACTTCTTTAGATTCCTATCAAGGCCAGTTTAGCATTTTGCATTGAGTAGCAACTTGCTAACAATTCTTTAATGATGTTATGATGATGAGTTCGCACAACTGTGATTTGGATTAAGGAAAAGGATGTATTTTATTATTATTATTATTATTATTAGAGAAGATACTGGAACTTTTCCTCATACTTTCAGGTCAGTTCAGGACATAATGTTTCTCAGTCAGCATGGAAATAAAAAGATCAGCCTGGTTAAAAAATTGATTAGCTGGTGGGACTATGTGAGAGGTGGTAGGAAAGGTTGTCTCCTGTGGCTTAAACTTGGGTAAGAGAAGTAGGCAAATTATTTATGAAGCAACCAGAGATGAAGCGGTGGGTTTTCCAGACTATCTCAAAAAATATAAAAGTTCATTTCAGGTTCTGTAAATGGTTTCTGCTGTGCAAATACTTGTCTTTGCATAGCTGAAAAAGTTAATAAAGTCAATAATCCTTTCTAAATGACACTATCCCTCACATCCAGCCCCTTCCCAATTGCTATTCCACCATAGACAGTGTGAAGGATCTGCTCAAGTTCCCCAGGAAGAGACTCAAGGTCAAGGTGCTAGGGTGCCCTAAGATGGACATGTTCTAAGTGGACATGTTCTGATTGCTTGGTTTCTGTTCTTTAAATATTTTATATATCACTTCTGGACAGAAGGAAAAGCCCTAGAACTACAGACAGTTCTATGTGGTAGGAGCACAAGCAATGGGAGATTAACAGAGATGAGGCAGGGAACATAGGTAAAGACCCAAATTTGGAGGAATTCTAATCAATGATTTGGGCCGATGAACAATAGAAAACTGTTAGTCACAGAAGTACTGTAAATACACACACATTTTTGAAGGGTGAGAGAGACTGTTTATCAGGATTTTATAAGAGACCAGGTAAGAGATGATGTAGATGAATCAACAACTTAGCAGTACCAGTGGATAGGAAGGAATGGATGGAAGAAATATAGTCTTGGATAAATTTTACTGAATTTATTATTGCCAGAGAAAGTGTGGATAAAAGTAAAAGTGTCAAGAGTAAAAGTGTCAAGAGGAGTCCAACTCTGAAATGTGAATATTTTAATTCATGGTATGTGCCAAGAATATGTTGGTATATCATGTTTATTTTCATTGTCTCACCTCAAAGCTCAGGGAATGAGTCGTGGTTGATTATACGTAAGACACATGAGTTGAATGTATATGCTGGCAACTCTTGAAATATGTAGTCACCCCACCTGACCACATTTTTGATCAGTGAGCATCTAGACAGGAGTAGCATATTTAGAATTGCATGGATCCAGCTTCCCTTGGCTGAAGGAATATGGGGAATGTTCTGAAGGCTGATGGGAACCATGAAAACAGCAGCCTTTTCGTAACCAACGTACACGTACACAGCACTATTTCCCCTTCCTTGCAGTAGTTGAATTCTGGGTCTTTCCCCACCTATCAGACAATTGGGCTGAGAGAACTGTGATGGGAATGGGCAGCACCCTGAGTTCAGGAAGCCCCAGAGGAAAGCCTTGGAGTTATTTCCCAGGGTGGAGCAGAGATTCACCCTGCTAAAGCCCCTATTCATAGTGAAGAAAAAGGTAAAAAGGTTTGTTTATGATATCCATGGATTTACCTTTACAACCATCTTATTTAATAGTTCTTTAACTTTGCTTGCCTAAGGAAACATAAAAACCAACAGGCAATTTTAAAAATTCTCTAATTTTCTAAATTGGTATTTATTTCAAACATTATTTAGTTAAAGATGGCAGCAATTTCCTTTTTAAAAGGGCACCAAGACTACAGTGTCTTTACAGTTTAAAAACAAGCTGTGTTCTGGACCTAGAAAGAAATATTTAGATGCCTTAACCTGAAAATAACCTCTGAATTTTCCCACACTCTAACAAATCCCTAAACTGCCAAATGGATATGTACCAACATTTCCAGATTCCCCTGGGAATACATTTGAGAATGCTTAATTCCAAAGAAAGAAAATGTTAGGGAGAAATATACACACTCAAAAAAAAATAGGGCTTTACACCAAATAGTGCTCTTGTGTCACAGGAAAATATTTCAAGTATAATATGACACACACACACACACACACACACACTAAGTTATTTACACAATACAAAGTTCCATTGTAATTTAAGGGGGGTTTGGGGTCCACAAATTAATACTTGTGTTTTACTAATATTTTTTAAAGAATGAAACAAAAAGTTACACCTCTCTTTATTCACATTTCTTTCTGGTGAAAGAAAAACACATTTTTTTTTCTATTCTAAAAGAAAGACAAATAAATATATCCCTCCCATCTTAAGCTTGTTTTACTAAATCCAATCCCAGATTGAATTCGGCCAGATCATTCTTCATGCCTACTCCTGAGCAGAAAATCACCTAAACTGTAGATTAGCGCTATTATCAAATCCTTGGTTACCTCCTTATCTGCAGGGTGATCTGATAATTTAACTCTTCTGCTCTTTACAACAGCTGCTGCATCCCTCCTCTCTCTCCAAACATCTGGTCTTCTCTTCACCTTATTCTAAAGAGATGACTTTGGATAATATTTCATACAGGAAATATAAGCAAATCATGACCCAAGTTCTAAGAGGATTTTACAATAAAATAAAGAGATTATAAACATCATCCAGCAAAGTAAATACATAAGGATAATCAAGAAAAACAAGAATAATAGGGGTAATATTGACCTACCGCTTATCAAACTATAAACCTGCCTCAATTAAATAATGTGGAATTGTTGCTGGAAAAGACAATATGTCAATGGCATAGACCAGAGACCACATTTAAGAATAAAATAAAATAAAGATAGCATTTCAAAACAGTGAAAATGATAGAATATTTAACAAGAGGTGTTAGAAAAAAATGTCTATCTTTCTGGAAAAATATAAAATTGCATACCACTTCTCACAAATTAAAAATAAAATATTAGATAGGTTGAAAAGGCTGCATATTAAGTGTAAAATAATATTATAGAAGTGCTATATGGAAATATAAGAGAGGTTACACTTCTCATAATCTCAGGAAAGTCAGGCTCAACCTGAGAAAAATCCAAGACTTTATTTCTGGACAGTTCCATCTGATGCTCATACTCTTTCTTCCTGCAATAGCAGTGGTCATAGTACTACTCAGGCACTACCCTAATTCCTCATGTCACTCCTCTTTGTGCATCTTTGTATCCTTTGTGGTGACTGGCAAAGTAGGTGCTCTAGTTTTATTGATTTGGTTTGACAACTTAAAATTATTTTACGGTAGAATCTTGGGGGGAAATAGACTTTAGTAATCAATACCTAATACACAAATTATAGCAAGCCCTCCTCTTTTATAAACTATTTTCAAATAGGTTATTTTATGAAACTCCTCCCCCACATTCCCAAACCCACACAACAATAGAATGCAGGCAGGGAGAATGGTAGCAATTTACCCTGTCCCCCCCCCCCCCCTGCTTCACCAGAGAAATGAAGAAATTTCTCAAAAGTTTTGGTCTGGGTCTCTTTCAATTAGGTCATGTTATCTATAATTTAGTACAAAAAAAATAAACAAACAGATGGGTCTTGGGGATTGCATTTCCTAATTCTACAGAAACACATAGTATCTGGAAAAATAGCATTAAGAGTTAATGTTTAGGTGTACCTATTTTTTTTTTTTTAACAAACAGATGGTATGTAATACGTGCTATAAATAACCAAGCCAAGCTATGTCGCAATTTTTGTTGTTGTTGTTATTGTTTTGTTTTCATGTTTGTTAGGCATGGTGGTAACTTGTGCACCATTTCAAAACCTCCCGGTCTCACCTCTGATCCCAGTTGGTGCAGTGGAAAGCCATTCTGAACTAATTTGAAGCAGGTCACCTGACATGGCTTTACCTCATTCTGCACCTTCCACCGTTCACTTCTTCTCCGGGGCTTCTGTGGAGTCCACTGGGCACTTACGTGTGCAACCTAAAAAGAGAGGCATCATCGGTGCCCAGGGGCCACCTCCATCCAGGGAGAGGGAAGCCTTTAAGTAAACTGTCCCCTGGAGGGGCAATTCTGAATCACAGTTCACTTAAGGCTTTTCAGAAGGTTGTATGGGGTCAAGTTTCAGTCACCCACAGCCCTGAGCAATTTAGCGACCTATCTTTGTACAGGCTGCCTTCTGGGTTTCACTCCTCCTCTTCCCTTTTCCTGCTCCCTGGGACGCATCCCCAAATGTTCCAGCTGGGAGTTCTGATTTGGGAGGAGCTCAGACACAGACAGGTCAACCACTTTCTTTTAAAGGACTCTCACTATACAGTACTACTTCCTGAAATTTGTTTCACACTTTGAGAAATCCCTAGTTCTTTATCCCAATGGACTTATGAGAGACATCACTATTTCCATTTGATAGGTGAGGAAACTGAGGCTCAGAGAAGTAAATTTGAACAGGGTCACAACAACTAGAGAATGGTAGAACCAGGACTTGGCAAAGGTCCTCTGAAGAGAGGTCAGTGTAGGCTTTGTTATAACACAGCTGCCTCCTATCAAAATATTTGCAGAGGGCTTTGATCTCAGTGCCTAGCACTCTGGAAAGTGCTCTTTCTCGCTTATCAGCTCTCTGCCATAACACTCACAGCTGTTCCAAACACGTCCATGTTTTTTTCCAGCCTCAGATATACCATGCGTAGATGCCTTTTGTTGTTGTTGTTGTTGTGAACGAGTACAAAGGAATAGAGTAGTAGCTAGTAAGAGTTGAAATGACCCCCAGATAGATCACTCCTCCAACCCTCATTATTTAATGTCAGTAAATTTAGAAAAAGAAAACTGTCCAGGTCTGGAGTGGTAGAGCCCTCGCTAAGCAGCAGTACCTGAGTGAAAAAGACACAGGGGTTGTAAAAGACAAAGAGCTCAAGGTAAGTTATCAGGAGGGAAACACTGAAGAGGAAGCAGAACCACAGATTGCACCAGTAAAGAAGAGAGGCATCCACGGCCAGGGAAGATGGGCATTCCTGCCCACTCCCTCTGGATGGAGGCATGCATCCAGGTGCCATCCTTTCAAAAGAGTGTGCTGGAGTATGCTCAATAGAAAGCAGCCAGGGAGTTTATAAATATAATTGAAATATTCTCATATAGGACCACTGAAAGAATTCAATCCTTTTGGGATTAAACATAAAAAGACTCAAAAGAACCATAATAGTGATTTTCAAATATGTGAGACTGTGATCTTTCTAGTGCATTTTTTTTAACCTCTAAGTCAAGCATTCTTTGACCTCAGTTGAGCCTCCAATCAATTCATCTACCTTTTCCACTATCTCTTTCCCACAGGGCCAGCTGGGATTTCATAGGCCAACATGGTCATCAATTCCTTGTTTATACCCTATTTGGTGCTTGCCCTAAGGCTGAAGAGGGGTCAGAGGCAGGAGCATGGGATGGGGCAGTCTCCCAGGATCTAAGACTTCACTTTCCTTCTTGGCTATTAGGAGGGAGAGAACTTTCCTTTCTCACCCTGCTGTTTTCTTCCTTGCAGGGGAATGAACTTGTGTCACACTCCTGGCTTCTGTCCACTCTCCTACACACCTTTCTCTGCTCTATGCCCACCAGATGAAATGATACACCCAAGATTGGTGACTTTGGAAGGAGGCACTTGGGCCTCACCAGGTGGGAACATCTTATTGCCTCTCTTCCCAAGCTTGGCAGGAGTCACTCATTTTTTGCTTTTTCTTTTCCATGCTGTAAATTTCAAGGAAAGTCCCCTGGGAGAGGTCTGGGATGGTCCATTGGAGCTTGGGCCTCAGTGGGTAGCCTTGATTCTAGGGATCAGTATATGGAAGCTCATTTTGTTTTCAAATCAAAGCCATATTTTCCAGTTGCTACATTCCTCCATCCCAAAGGGATGTTTGCTGTCATCCAAGAATATTGATTTTTTTTCTATTTATGAGAATTGGAGGCAAAAGACCCCATGGAGTAAGCCTTTCTCTCTCTCTCTCTCTCTCTCTCTCTCTCTCTCTCTCTCTCTCTCTCTCTCTCTCTTCTCCCTACTCACCTCCTAGCCTATTCCCAGACAGAATGTGCCCCAGACTGCACCTATGCACCAGGGAATTGGTTGAATGTAACATGAATGTTTGTGACATCCATAAAATGATTAACACTGTTATGTTTTAAATGAGACCACGTTTAAGGGGTACGGGCAAAGGGAGGCCCAGAGTTTTGGTCTTAAAGACCCAACGATAGCACTGAATCTTAGGTGACCCCAAACCTTTCATCCTGCCAGGCAATCCTAATAGATTTTTTTGATCCACTCACTCTCCTATTCTTCTAAAAGGATGATCTCACTGATTCTTCTTTGTTCTTAGGGCCTTTTTACTTTCAACTGCTGAGCTTGCTCCGTATTTTACTTAGAAAATAAAAGCATAATGAGAGCTTTCATATATGTCTGTCTGCATCTGTGTCCTACGGTGCTGCCTTCCCTCCCCTTGCAAGGCTCCTTCTGTTATTGTCCATGATCCTCTTCAAGGCCAACTCCACCTGTGCTCTGGATCTCTTCCCTTCCCCCACGTAAGGACCTTGCTCTTGCAATTGTTGCCATTTTTTTGCATCACCACTTTTCCTCTCTGCTGGATCATTTAGATAAACATGCAAACATGCTGTGAAATTTCCCATCTTTTTTTTTTTTGGTACCAGGGATTGAAAACAGGGACACTCAACCACTGAACCACATCCCCAGCCCTATATTATTTAGAGAAGGGTCTCACTGCCTTGCTCAGTGCTTCGCCATTGCTGAGGCTGGCTTTGAACTTGCGATCCTCCTGCCTCAGCCTCCGGAACCTCTGGGATTACAGGTGTGGTCCACTGCACCCAGCAGATCTCCCATCCTTAACAAACACCGCCTTCCTCTTACCCCCATCCCCTTCCAGCTACTGCTTCATTTCTCTGATTCTCCTCATTCCTTGAAAAAGTTTGTTATACTAGCTGCCTCTTACCCCCTTTCCTCTCATCTTCTCCTGAACGTACTCTAGTCAGGCTTTCTTCCCATCATCCCGGGTCTCCTTCAGTCTATTGTCAAGATAACCAGTGAAATCCATGGTGCAAAATCTATGGGCAATTCTTGGTCCTCATTTTACTGGATCTATTACCACCCTCCTTTCCTTCCTCCTACTCCTTCTCTTCCTCCTCCTCTTTTTTAAGTAAAGGCTTTAAAAAAAAAAAACAGTTTTACATTCACAAAACACTGAAAGAAAGGCACAGAGATGTTCCTCCTCCTTCTTTAAATACTGGCTTTGTTAGCCAGCCTTGAAGACATCCTTCTCTAGGTGCTTTGACCTCGGTGGCTGCTTCTCAATCTCCTTTGCTGGCTGCCTTATCCAACAGCGTTGTTGGAATAATCAGGAGTGTGGTGGAATATGGATAAGTGTTCGGATTAACAGAACACAAGATTCTACGATTCTGTGGAATTATGTTCGCAGAGGTCAACAGTAGCTCCCTAAATACCAACCCAGGGGTCTCTCTCAAGTATTCTCCTTAAAGATGAAGCTTCTTCTCTCACTTCCCTTGATTTAGAAGGCAGTGTGGAGCTGGCTTGGTCATCTGTGCCCTTTTTCACCATCCTCAGGCCTCTTTGCCCACTTATTTTCTTCCTCTGATGGGCTCTTTAAGCCAGTCTAGGTTTTAACCAATACTGTTTTTGACCTTCTGCTCTCCTGTTAATCATTATCCTTGGGTGATATCAAAAGTATGAGAAAGTTAGCAAAAACAGCTAGAAGGAATAATTAAAACAGCAAAACACACTCTCCTCTGCATTTTGGTGATGAGTCCTGATTGTGATTTAGAACACCCAGGTTTGAGACTAGCCTGCCACTTAACAGACTACTAATTTGTCTGAACTTCTGTTTCTGCATTTTTAAAAAATGGAGATAATAAGCGTCTGCTTTACATACATTATCTATGGGTTTGAATGTTTTATGTATGGAAAGTCTTGTAAAATATCACCTAAGCTGTAAACAGAAATTCTGTTGTGATAGACCACAAAAAGAAGTCACTAAAACGTTTTTCTACTGGAAAAAATAATTGATACAAGGGTTATCTTTTCATTTCTGTTTACTTATAGGGAGAAGGTTTTGCTTGCTTTTTAGGCACTGTATCAAGACTCAATCAAGTAAAAAATGCATTGGAACTGTTCATGTACTTGGAATTGTTTTTCTAAACAATTAAAAAATTTGCAACCAATGAAATTGAGCTGAAATACTTCTTTTGCCCACATCATCCAGGCCTGCGTTTCACTCCTAAAAGTTAATAGTCTTCAATTCTTCACTGACTTCACTCACACCCGCCCCGCCTGTTTGCTGATGGGAGCTGGAATCTGGCTACATCATCCTCCCCAGAGAAGGGGGCTCAAGTGGCATATCAGCGCATTCCTATGCAAGAGGGGGGGGACTCTTCAACACAGTCCAGGCTGAGTTTTCCTGTTAGCTGCAAATCAGACAAGGGGCCCACCTTGGTTTACTTTCACTTGTTATCATTCTGTGGGAACAACTTCTTGTGTTTCCCCCACGATAGAGAAGGGAACCCTTTGAGAGAGGGGGAAAAAATGAGAAGCCATGAGAAACTGGACTAGTTTTTAAAAATGGCAGCATTTTAAAATTGCTCAGTGGAGATTTTAACAGCTCTTGTCTAATTGTTAACACACAAACCTCCCTAACCAGAACGATTGTGGGGGATGACTTCTTAACTGGATCTAAGAATCAACTCTTTCCCAAAAAGCCTGTTAAAAATTACACACTTGGAATTTTGTCTCAGTCTGACTCAGCTGTTGAATCCCTTTTTGATATTTCCTGTGGGGTGGGGATGGGAAGGGGGTAAACAACCTGATTCCATTTAATCTAGAACATATATTTTTTAAAAATCTGGTATCAAATTTGAATACTTGCTGAAGGTAGGGTGACCAACCATTCCAGTTTGCCTGGGATGGAGAAGTTTCCCAGGAATAT